GCCCAAGTCGTTACTATGTCAAACTAGTTCTACCTGTCACTCCTGCCACTCACCAGCCTGAGGCCCCCCTCTCTGCTCAGCCACACGTCCCCCCCCCCCATGTTCCTCAGACAGTCACGTGTTTCTGTCTGCCCCCCTCTGCCCCCAAGGCTCTTCCTCGAGACTTCCTCCGAAGGCTATCTGTGAACACCTCATTTCTAATGGCATTCACATCTCTCCCACTCTCTTATTGTTTTATATGACACTTTTTACTACCTATATTTGTGTATTTATTCTCCTCTCTCTTTCCTTCTCTCCCTCCCATCACACAGAATGTTCGCCCCATTAGAAAGCTTTGTCTCCTTCACTGCCACATCCCTAGTGCTGCCATGATGCCTGGCATGTAGTTGGCACTCAGTAAATATTTATGAGGTGAGGGGACTTGTTAAGCAATCCCACACCTGTCCAACACTGTTTTTCATTACTTGTCTGGCTGACTCCTTGCAATGACCCTGGGAGGTAGACAAACCAAGGGTTCTTTCACAGATAAGGAAATGAAGTGCAGGCAGGTGAAGCAATCGGCCTAAGCTCATGGAACCCTGAGTAATGGGGAAGCTGGGATTCGGGCTCTGGTCTGTGACTTGGCATGTCCCATGCAGAACTGAGCAGTCCTCAAACATTCACTGTTTATTGATCACATCTTTGCATCATGCACAGTGGAGAGGGGGATTGAGCTGAAGCCAAAATTCTCACTTTCCTCTCCCCTCAGCGATGAGCATGCCCAATAGGTCTTGGTCTTTTTTCCCTTGGGATGTATTCGACAAATATCCTTGTATTCTCCTGCCAAGAAGGGGTGGGGGTGTCTGCTCCTGGGTTCTCAGCAGAGGGCGCTAGAGAAACACCACCCCACCCTCTTGGAATTACTCCAGCAAGGTAGGGAGAAGGACAGCCTGTGGGTCTGGGCAGCCCGGGTGGACTTCAGTGTCCTGTTTCTGTTCCTCTCTGCCCTGTGCTCAGGCGTATCCTTGGCCAGAGCTCTGTTTCCTTGGAGGACCACTACCTTTGGAAGTCTGTCTCTAAATCTAGTGAGATAGGTGGGAAACACTTCGTAAGTCCTCCTGGCCCCATTTCACAGCTGGCATCCGAAGCTACTCTGCACAGCCAGCCACCTCCAGTGGAAGGCAAAGGATGTCCCCTCACTTGGACCCTGTGTTTCTGGTATAAAGCAGAAGGGGGACAGGAGCTCTGTGGAGCCAGGAGAAAGCCAAGCTGGGTTCCTAACTGCCTGGAAAGCTCTTCCTTGAATGTTTGCTGGGAAAGTGACTTCCTTGAAGTCTCCGCTCCTCCAGGATGTTGCCTTCTCTCAGCTCAGCGGACACCTTGCTCACACCTTAGTGCGTCCCATCACCTGCCCCCTGTCCACATGATCTGCTTCTGTCTCCCCTGCTGAAGGGCGGGCTCCTTGGGAGAAGAGACACTGTCTTACCCTTGCTGTGTCCCAGCCCTTGGCACGTTTTCATGTACAAGTGAATAAATTAACTTAATGTAGGAAACTGGGTGCTTTGTGACTGAATTGGAATCATTGGAAAATGGGAAGGCCGGGGCAGCACAAATAAGTGAAAAGACTCAAGTCACATCGACAAGCATCCATCTAGTGCACGGGTGCAGGCAGGTACACAAATTTTCACAATGTACTGGATCTACTAAGGTCAGTCTTTCAGAGTTACCATGAAGTTGGTAAAATGTCAAGGCCACCCCCTTCGCGGGACTCTCTGGACCCCAAACCCAATTTTGTGTTCTTTAGGAGCCACGCCTTCTTCCCCCAGTGGTATCAAATTCAGGTTCCACAAAAATCTGGATTCACCGTTGCCCTTAATTACTGTGTATTGGCCCCTAACATGTGCCCAGCACTGTGCGAGGTGCTGAGAATAGAGCCACAAATAAGAGACATTCCTGACCCTCTCGGAACTGTTCTCAGTGCCGCGGAGAGATGGGCAGTGAGCAGGCGGTCCTGGCACAGTGGGGTGCCAGGTGGGGAAGCGAGGCACAGCAGTCTCACAGTGGACAATTATCTTTTTTTTGGGTTGTCCATTCAGACCCCTTATGAAATTTTTTAATTTTGTTGTAAGTCTTGGTGGGAGCCTGGGCCTGCTGGATCCAGCAAGGGCCCAAAGGTCCAGATCCGTGCTCGCTGAAGAAAAGCAAGGCAGCCTGGGGTGGACACGTGACAATGTACGCTCAGTTAACTGTGGGCCTCTGCCTGGGACTCTGAGCCTGGACCTGATGTCACTGGACAGCTCACTCAGGGGAAGCTCTGGGATTTCGTGGCGTGGTCGGTTACATCACTGTCCCAGCTGGGTTATTTCTGTGGTCTAGGCTCTCCAGCTTCTCTTAACCCCTGTTCATTTCTGAACCTGGACCTCGGGGCTTCTCGTGGATCCCTAAGTGGCGTTCCAATAAATTCCCCTTCTACTTAGTTTTCCCAGAGTACGTTTCTCTTCTTGGCAACCAGAACCCTGACTGGAACAGACTCCTAATTCAACCTTGGCAGAGGAAGGCAAGCTTTCCAAGTGTAGAACATCTATGCTAACATCTGAAGGTGAGTAAGAATAAGTTAGATGAAGACGTGGGGTGAAGAGGTGGGAAGAGTAGGAAGAACAATGATTCAGGCAGAGGAAACAGCCTGTGCAAAGGCCCAGAGACGAGATGAAGAAAAAGTAAAATGTAAAAAGTGGGAAACAGCAGGTGACTCGAGGCCGTGTTAGATTAAGGAACTTGAGTTTTATTCTGAGGAAAACCAGGAGCCACTGAAGGGCATAGCCACTCTGATTGCAACGTGGAGAACGAGCTAGGAGAGCAAGATGAGAGGCAGGAGACCAACTCAAAGTGCGTTGCTGTAATTCAGGCACAAGATGATGGTGCTGGGACTGGGGTGGTGTGGAGGAGAGATGGAGCAAGTTGCTTCAATAGCTACAATGTAAATAAAACAGGTAGAATGCAGTGATTGGTTGAGAGGGACAAGGAGGACTCATGTTTTGAGCTTGGATCAGGGTATCGTTGGGAACCAGGAGAGGAGGAAATGGTTTTTGGGTAGAGCATTTCGTGAGACATGTTGTTTTAAGTGCTGGCGGCACATTCAGAGCATGTCCAGGACCTGGATGGATGTGCAAGTTGGACATTCTGCAAAGAGGTTTGGATCCAAGACACAGGCATCATCACCATACAGACGGTGACTGGAGCTCCAAGAGTTAAGTGAGAAGAGCCAAAGGAGGAAAACAGAACATTCATAAGCCAGGCAGGAGAAGAGAGCCTTCAAAGGAGACTCAGAAGCCCTGAGAAGTCAAACAGGAAGACCAAGAAATGCCCATTAGACCTTAGCTGGTGATTGGAAGGTCAAGATGGAAGTTCTTAGAGACATTTTGGAAAACCAACTGAGAAGGTGTGAATTTACATACTGGGTGGGGAAAAAGTAGGTTTACAGTTGTGAGTACATGAAACAGAGTTTATTCTTCTTTTTAATTGTATTCTTTTTCATACCAACAACTGTCACCTACTTTTGCCCCACCCTGTACACTGGACATTGGAGGCGAGGCTCTGAGCTGAGTGACCCACATGCCGCTTTATTTAGTTCTCCCGGCAACCCTTAACCACCAGCCCCATTAACAGCAAATCAAGACTCCACTGAAGTATCTTGCCCAACGTCATGCTACTAGTAAGTGGTAGGGATGAATCCTTGATCTATCTGCAACTCAGGTTCTTTCGACAACCACTTCCTTCTCCTATGTGCAAATCCTGCCATGTAGGATAATTTTATTAATTTGTGATTGGGTTTAACAAATATTGAGTTTATTGTGTGCTAGGTACTGTTCTAGGTGTTGGGGGTACAGTAGTAAACAATAAAAAATTTAAACTTCTTCACATTCTGTAGGAGGTCAGATACAAACATGGCAGTATGTCATGTAGTAATGGTAGGCATGGAGACTCCTAAAGCAGATGAGAGGGTTACATTTTAAATAGGACAGTGGGGACCTTCCTAGTACATATGACATGTGAGCCAGGACCTGTTGGAGCAGAGGTAGCCAGTCATCCAGTTATCCAGGGGGTTAACTAGGAACAGAAAACCTCCAATGCTTGGTATACCCGTCAATGCTTGGAGCCAAATGGAGGCTAGGCCAGTGTGGTGGGAGCCACAGAAAATTAGCCCAGAGAAATGGGGTGTGGAATAAGGACAAGGAGTGGGGAAAGACTAGATCAATGGACAGCTCTGCAGACCAAACATATTTTTTCATTTTTTATCCTCACCAAATATATTTGATTTTAGAGACAGGGATGGGGGTAGGAGAGGTATTGATGTGAGAAACTTGGGTTGCTTTCATTACACACCCCAACCAGGAAGTGAACCTGCAAGCCTAGGTGTGTGTCCTGATGGGGCTTGAACCCACAACCTTTTGATGGTACTCCAACTGAGCCACCGGGCTACGGCAAACTATGTTCTTAAAAATCTAACTAGGTGGAAAGCCATTTGGTGGGTCTTGGGTTGTGTTGTTTCTCTTTTTAAAGGACTCCTCTTCCTCTGGCTGCTGTGTTGAAAGGAGAGCAAAGGGCTAAGCATAGGTTCCAGTTTAGGATATGGTAGTATCTGAGTGGCAGTTGGAGAGAGGACACGCTGATTTCTAGTTCTGGACGGAGAGTTGACTTTAGGTTAGGCATACTTTGACAGTTAAGTAACTGAAGTGTCTTGTTTTTTGAGATGAGGCATCTGCCATTGGAGACTAAGAAACAGCCAATGAGGTGGAAAGAAAACGAAGTTTGTTGTCCTGGAAAGAAGTCTCAAGAAATGATTTACTGTCAAATAGAATGAAAAGCTATGGCTACAGCACTGGGTATGGATCTTGAGAAAGCTTCAGTTTACAGTTTGTCTGAGAATGAAGAACGAACAGGTAATGTGAGTAGGCAACTCTTCCCAAGAGGCATTGAAGATGTGGACTCTTATTTTTATGACAAGTCACTACAAATTTCCATACTGATGCTAAAGGCATTATTATTTATACAAAGCGCTCGTCAGGTACATAACAAACTTTCCACACTATGGTAGGTTGTGAAATACACTGTTCAGAGTCTAAAACAAGATGAGAATGCTACTCCAGGGGTCGTATTTAAGTTGTTCTTGAAGCGTGGGGTGGGCACTGGTGAAAACCTAGCTTCTGCAACCAGTGAGACAAATGCACATCTGGCCTAAGACTGGCCCAATTTCTTAGCTGAATTGGAATAATTCTGGCTGTAAACAGAATTCTAACCATATACTGACTGCACTTGCTAGGTTAAACTGTTCCCCTCCTTGATAGGGTGGTTGGGCAGGCTAGGAATAATGCAATTTATGGCTTATCTCCACAACCTAGCCCTTTCCCCAAAGTTCTCTTTTATCTGAAATGAAGTATTTGCAGCAGTCTGCTTGGCCTGAATTGTACTCAGCATAATCCACCAAAAACTATGAATGTTACTTGTGTGAGAACTTCCACGAAGAGGAAGACTGCTAAAATAGAGAGGACTAGCTTTTCTGAATCGATGACATATTGGTTCCACTCACTACTTGTCTTGGAGATGAACCTGATAGACCTTTCACACATCAAAGCTGTCAGGCACAGCAGTACAGCATGGTTTCTTCCTGTCTTTGTCTGGAGAGGCTCTCCCCTAAGAGGGTACCTAGGACTCCACAGCAGCTGCTGCTGGGAATACCCGCAGGTTGAAGCTGTGCTGTCTTGGCCATGAGGGTGGCTATTAGCCTCTCTGAGGCTACCATGTATTTCAGCATGACAATGAAAAGATAAATGTCATCCAGTTTGTTGCTATGCATTAGCAATGTACTCCAAATTCACAAGACTTGTGATCTCAGCACTGCCTTTGGTCACAGGAGCTGTTTGTTTATTGGTTACTTCCAACAATCTGACCTGAGAAATTCCCTCTCCTCATGGAAAGGGAATTAGAATAGGTAAGATTTTAAACGTTCCAAGTCTTGTTTGCCCATAGATTGGTGGATGCTAGTTTAGTCACACTCAGCTACATCAAGTATCACAATGTTTATTGATAGATACAAGTATATAAAATCAGGGCATGAACATGACTTGATAAATTAAGTAGACTTAATTTCAATACTATAATAAGAGGGACCAATTCAAATTCTCACCATTTGTTTCACACCCACAAAAACCACTTCAAGGGCATTAAACGATCTCTCAAAACTGATCAGTTTTGTGCAAGTAAACCATGTTTCTTTTAAAAAGACGTGTGCACTTGCCCAGGCTCAAGGATATTAAAATCTAGCACATAAAGCCCATTACTAGAGGTAGAAATACAGGCAATATACTATTACGGCAACAACCATCAATTACAGTTAAGAATTTTTCTGTAACAACCAAATGGATAATCAAATATTGCAACAACTCAAGTATTACTGAGCAAAGTGCATTTCTACAGTATTCAGTGTTGCTATTCAGTTTTCTAACTTAAAACAGCCTATGATAACTGGCAGCAAAGAAGATCCTTGCAATAGACTGCCTTCTGCTTGAGAACTTATGATGTAAGTATTGCATGCTGCTAATATACTATCTAAACATTAAAGATACTCCTAAAATATTTGATGGTAGACTATGATTAAGACATTACACTACAAAAAACCTTATGCAGAAGGAAATCCTAACTGACGTGCTTCTGCTTTAAATATTGTGAAAACATTACGGCGGAATGAATTTTCGCAGTGGTTAGGTCAAATGCAGTTACACCATATCAACAGTATGTTTTGCACAATTTAAGGCTTTGGCTGGTTCTTTAGTCAGCTTCTTCCTCTGATTCTTCTTCCTCAGCAGTTTCTAGCCAGGTTAGCCACTGATTCACCTGTAAATCAATTTGTAATTTTAAAAAAATAGGTAGTACTTACAGAGAAAACCTCAAAGCAGAAGCTTTGATTCAGAACCAAACTAGCAACCCACTCAAGTTCTATGCATTTTATAATCGCAAGTAGCCTCCGAGACATACTGCAAATATATTACTTGTATATTAGCCCTGAAGTTACTTTTTAAAAGTATTCACTATTTAGATATGGGATAACATGTAAGCTGTGTATATGTTATCAGATGCTGTTCTTTGACACCACTCCAGTTATATATACTTCAGGATCATTTCCGTATGCAACAGTGGCTCTTTCCAAACCTCTGTGTGTTATAGCAGTACTGTGGAGGACAGGGTAAGAATGCAAGATTCCAAAATAGATTTCCAGCTCTATTCCAAAACTGCACAATCATATTCTCTTAAGAACAGAGCTACGTATAAATGCTGCATGGGTGACTAAAACTAGTTTGTGAAGAAGTAAAAGACAAGACATTGTAGTAAATCAGTGTTTCTCAAAGCCTGGTCCCCTGGAAAACTGGTCTTAATAATCACCTGGATGTTGTACCACAGAACTATTAAATCAGAATCTGTGGGATTAGGACTGGAACCTGCTTTGCCATTTTAGAAACCGCTAGGGCAAAACTGCACTTCATAAGTTTGAAAATCGAGCCATAAGAAATCTAGGAGCAATCTCCTCTTTATTGGCATAAAAAACACCCAATCTTGCACAATCACCCAATCTTTGTAAATGACTTTAGTAAAAAATATTAGCTACCTCAAATGTCTTACACACGTAACTTAGCACTAGGATAAAGCCTTTCATTCACAGCTTCACTCAGTTCTGTTGTGACCTCCTTTAGTGTGGTGTGTAACAGTGCAGAATGGTATGTACAAACCACTATAATGACTTTGCTTGTATTTCAGTTTTAAAGGCTCTTCGTTAAAGTAATACCAAGTGAACTGGAAAAAGCAGACCGAGTATCTCCCGCAAAAGATTTACCTGGAACAAAGCCTTGCCTTTCCCGGGAAACTCTTGGGTTATGTCTTCCTTCCAAGCCAAGAAAGCTTCTTCTTCAATAATTTCCATGTCATAGAAGTGAACAAAAAAGCGGAGTAACATGCCTAAAGACAAAATGCAGTTTCATTATTTCGTATGCTGCTTAAAAAAGCAGCCCACACTTGCCACTCTTTCTGACACAAGCCATCTCACCTTTTGGGAAGTTGCTGTTGTAGCAGTGCACCTGAAGAGCATACAGGGCACTTACTTGTAGATCAACATGATCGTGAAGGAATTTCTGCATTACTGGCTTGAAAGAAAGAAGCAGTTGTTTTTCCTGCTCTAACTGTTCTTTGGAAGGAGCAGAGGAAGAATCTGTTTCATCACTGGGTGGGTTTACTTCACTAGAAATATACTGTAGGAAGCTAGAGAGAGAGGTCTTATTAGAACCCAAAAGCCAATTTTCTACTTTTAAGAAATAATCTTGATCCTTTCCCCTACAGACTTTTTGGTGGAAGACCCAACTTTATCTTACCTAGTCATTAAGATGTTCACAAATCCTTTATCTACATGAAGTTTGGGAGAGATGTTGTCTTTAATCCACTTATATATGGTCTGAGGGGATGGATCCAACTTTATTTGCTTCAATAGTTCCTTCTCCAATTTGAGGAGTGGAAATAAGAAACTAAGTCCCTTTCCTTCCAAAATCTCCAACATGCGATCCTTATTTTGATCAATTTCTGTAGAGACAAAACCATTTGCATCATCAGGTAGTAATTCTACAAATGTTCAAGATTCATGAAACTCTTGACAGTTAAAGCAAATCAAGGCAGGTAAAAACTAACTTTTAAAGAAAGTGCAATCTACTTGTGGGAGGTCATGCAGGTCACTGTCTGGACAGGACGATCACACTGTATGTATGACCCACACAAATCCACTCAGGTATCAAGGAATCCAGACTTTTTGTTTAAGTAGCAAAATTCTGAGCATTCTCTTACCTGGGAGCATTTTCTGCATATTGACCTTGCTTTGTTGGAAAAGTTCTGTTAACCATTCTCGATCTTGTAACTTAGCTAGTTGCTGAAGACAAAGTAAGAAGAGAGGAAAATGGGTGCCACTTTCCAGTGGTTGCGCTAGTTCGGAAATGCTCACCAGCTCTGAAATGATGGCACGAGCTGCGAACTGTGCTAAATATGATTTCACCAAGGGGATGTCAACCTCCAGTTTGGGGCACTGGTCCAATACATTCAAAAAAGCCTTAAAAGGAATATATACAGGGTCAGGTTATTAGTTGTCAAATTTGAATAAAAAGAATTCTCACAGCATCAGGGAAGTGTTGTTTCTACCTGCATGAAGTTGTCACTTGTAGCTATTCCTTCCTGTTTGAGTAAACTGATCAAAGAACTGGCTTTTTCTTTATCTTCATCACTTCTGTCTAGTGACAGGATGATTACTTTGCTTAACATCTCAGGAAGAAAGTGTTTAGGAGCCCGCATTTCTCTTACACCACTGACAGCTTCATTTGCATTTCCACTGTTCAGATATTCAGTCACAACAGTTTCCTGAAAAGAACACAATCCAAGTGTCTTCAATGTTTTTCCTAAAAACTCAAAAGTATTCCATGAATTAGACTACGGCATTATTTGAAACTTACAGTTAGTTTAAGTAGTTCTTCCTTTGAGGGTGGCGGCTTTTTACTGGTCTTGGCAGGCTTTTCCTGAATAAGTGGTGGATTAGTTTTGAGACCAAGCTGAGGTGTCTAAAAAAAAGCAACGTAAGTGTGAATGTTCAATAACAAATTTTTTAAAAATCTTCAGAAAGTACTGAAATAGAGCAAGTTGACAAACTATGGTCAAATACCTGTCCCAGAGGAGGTGTCTGAGTGCGCGGTGGCTGCGCACTAGGAGGAATCATAGTTATCTGGGGCTGAAGCTTTGGCACTTGATTTTTATTCATTAGGAACGACTGAGCAGGCCTCAGACTAATCTAGAATTGCAAACCAATTAAAACAGATATCCAAGTTAACAAAATGCAGTTGGGTAAGATCTAAATGCAACGTTCTCAAATCCTAAAATTAAGTCAGCCTACACAAACGTGATAATCTCAGATAGGAATATAATTTTAATAACCAAAAAAGTATTCCATGTGAACAGGTTCAATTTCTGGGAAGAAAATTAAAAGATCTGATCCACACAAGAGTAAGATATTGTTAAATCTTGCATTTGTATCAGAACTCTCCTAGGATTAACATCACTTAAATAACCATAAAATTGCACTAGTTTAGAAAATATCTTGCTTTGTTCTTAATTAAGTCATTCTATTTGGAGGGAAATCACAATCAAAACCTTGACATTTTTCTTGCTCTCACTAAAGACTTGCCCTCATATCTCATAATCGTTGCTCACAGGACGCTGGATATACAAAGAAAAGAAAAGAAAAAGTAGTACAGAAAAAAGAGAAAGACAAGAACTCCAGCATTAAGTCCTCTTAACGCATCTTTTTATAATCATTGGGCAATAGACTTCTAAATCAACAAACTGTTGCATATTAAGTAACATAGGCAAATGTACCTCATCTGCATTAAGCTGTCCTTTCTTAGAAAACCGAGGTGGCATATCCTTCGACTGTCCTTGCAGCTGGGATAAGAGTCCCTGACTCTGGTTATGGTAGAGCTGGCTTAGCCCCTATTTCAGAAAGGGAGAAAGAAAGTCCAGATAAAAAGGAGTCCACAAATTATGGTAATAAAGTACCAAAAAGATGAGCCAAGACATAAGAAAAGCTTAACTGAATTTTCCCAGAGAAAGTACAAGATGAAACAGGGAAGAATAAAAATCTAACCTAACTGTCAAATAAAGTTTACAATGTGATTTTACTAACACTTTACTAATCTTAAGGATTAAATATTCCACCCAGTTTAAAATAAGTGCCACAGATATAAATTTGGTTTAGAAAAACATATACAACCCTATAGTATCTGCATTTTTTTAAGAAGCAAAACTAAATAACAAACGTTACAGGATTTAGTGCTTGTTACCTGAATATTCTTAAGTGTCTTCTTACCTGGCTTTTCATAAACTTGCCTCCCATCTCTCCAAACTGTGACTGTGTGGGAGGCATGATGTGTCCCCCATGGCCATTGAAGAGTTGATTTGAACGATGACGCCCCATGGTGGGTGAAAATCTATCCTGGATAACTCCTGGACCAGTCCCAATTCCACTACCTATAAATATATACACGGACAACTTTTTACACATCTACTACTATGCTATGCTGATTTTTTAGTTTAACCAAACCACTACTTTGTTCAAAATCACCTGGCATTTGTCCAAACATATCAGCAAGTCCTCCAAGTGGGTCCCTATCCATTTTCATCCTGGGTGGCATGAAAGGTCCCTCCAGAAAGAAGTCACTCCTCATCCCTTGAGCCATAGGAGCTGGAATAAACACTCCTAGATCCTTTAGAAACAAAGTAAATAAAATACTTGTTTTAGACATTATTGTGTGCAAAACTAAAATTCTTACAACAGGGGAAGAAAACAGAAATACTTGTCGAGTATCAAAGTGCTATTTATATAATTTCTGAGCTCCACCAAGTACGATGAGAGTCTCAAGTTTTAGGACAGTCTTTTGGCCATTATAATCCTAAAGCACACTTGATTAAAAAAAAAAAAAAAAAAAAAAAAAAAAGATCATCTTACTTTTACTGCATCTTGACGGATTTGATTGATCGTCTTTGGTCCATTGTCAAGAAAAGCCTTGCGAGGAACCCAGTGGTGTTCTCGCAACTCTACTGTATCCTTAAATTAAATAATAAATTTACTTTTAGTAATCTGAACAGAAAAAGTGAGCTCACAAACATTATTAAAGAAACCAGTTTTACCTGCAGCAGGAAACGAATCCTTGCTGGCAATTCCTTACTTAACATCAAGGAGCACATTCGGGCAAAGTACTGATCCATTAAGGACTAATAAAAGAAAAAGAAAATAGTCAAAACGAAATAATATGGCAAATGTATACTACTTAAGGATTTTAAGACTTCTAGATTATAATCAAGGTTAATGACTAAATATGACAATCCCCTATATCCCAAAAGTCATCTGATTAGAATATTAATACACACTACTTAAATCATCTATTAGTAACATGCATACCTTGGCTCGTTCATGGTCTAATCTAGGTCCCACTGTCCTCATTATCTGACAGAGGCATTCCAAATCTTCTCCCATATCTTTGAGTTGGACTCTCTTCTTCTTTTCCAAAAGCTACCAAGGGAAATAACCCATGATGATGAAAATCTTATATTTAAATGTTTTATATGTCTGCACTGACTTACGGTTCCCACAGTATCTAACATAGTCCTTTCTATTTGGTCTGTGTTGAAAAAATCCTTCCAAATCAAGCAATTATATAGGTAGGTAATCAGTTCTACCCCTACCTTACTATACTGCATACTTCCATATTCAGAACACTGAAACAAGTTTTGCTGACCATCTAAAATACTTCAGTTAGCCTACTACCTCTCTCAGATAGCAAAAGATAACTCATTTCTCCCAAATAATTATGTGTACCCAGTTATTATCTAAGCCTAAACTCCCAAGTACACTTACTGTTTTGATGCACTTATGAAGGATAGATTCATGAATAAGATCAAGCTTTCCAAGTTCTCCAATGAATTTGATGTTCCCCAACATCTTGATCTTAGCAATGGCTCTCTGTTCCTCCTCCTCAGGGAGGAGGGGGTTTTCACGTTTATCATAGACTGGAAAAAAACAGGAAAGAGTAAAGTTAACATTCAAAATTAAGTTGAAAATGTACAGAACTACTTAGCACCAAATATAATTCTTACCATCAACATTTCTGGTTCGGTTTTCAAATTCATCTTGTAATTTGGAAATTAGGAGGCGTCTGAATGTCTATTAGAAATAAAAGACATTTAGCAAGTTTTATTAATGAAATCTTTCAAATCAACTTTAAAATAGGCAAAGCAAGCACTACCACTTACTGTGCTTTGCTTCTGTCCTGGCTGACCCTCTGCTGCTGGGCCATCAAAGTTTGGTGCATCTTCTGCCAATCGCAGACATAGCTGAGCATACAATGAGCTATACTTTGGCTCTTCTAGGGCTTTGTCCACAATCTACAGAAAACACCATTTTAGAAACTAAATATGACAACCTAAAGAACCATTCACTTATTATTTAATAATTTCTTGCAGACTTAATCTTAGATCTCAAGTTTCTTACTAATTCTCTATGCCTCATAATTTAGGAATAAGAATACCTCTTCTGCAAGAATTAGTATGTAAACTAAATTAGATAATGTATATGAAGTAGGAAAACACAAATATTTAAATGTTAGCTATTATAGCATATTGAATAAATCCAGTTATACAGATCTCGTACTAGCCACAACCCACCCCATTCCCTGGAGTTGAACACATGCTGAAAATCAAAACTGTAAACAGACACTGGAATGCTCTATCAACGATCATACAATTCATCCCCAAGATCAAAATATGGTGTTTTCCATAGAATGAAAAAATGTGAACAGCCTGCTAATGATAAGTCGGTTAACTTTTCAAGCACACGTAGTATGAACAATTTAAAATTCACTTCTTAAATCGGATGCCATTCATATTTAGTTGGTCTTTTAAAAAATCATTATTCAGAAAAACTTATCTAGCTCATACCTCACAAGTTTTAAGCAATAAATGCAAATGTAAAAAAAAACAACCTAAGTTTGTCAAACATTTTTCTCCCCCCTTTAATTAAGTCAAAAATTCACTTACCAGCAGTATGACCCCTTTAAGGATGAGTTTAGACTCTACACCCACATTGAGGAGCTCAAGGCATAGCTTGTCAAACTTTTCAGGAGTAAGCTTATTTAGTATGCTGGGGGAAAAAGGAATCACACTTTAAGTGTCAGCCAACAAAGAATTGAGGTGAAAAACAGCTTTTAAATGTTTCCTCTATTATCTCCCTTTAACATTAAGGCATTTCTCCTTACCCATCTAACTAAAGGGATGTTTAAACAAAGATACCACTGTTACTTAGTTTATAGTATCTGTACCTGACTGGGGAGGGTCCCTAAGTGTCTGACAAGCACTCTTTCTTCGCACATGCTCAAAACCCTGAGAACAAGGGCCTCCTTATTATCAAGGCTAGGTGTAGAAGACCTGTTGTGTGCTTCACTGGGTTATACACCAGACAGACAACGTCAGCAAAACAGGCCGAAAGCAACTCTAAGCCCCCAAATACTGACGGTACTGTTCTTTAAGATAAAACTGTCAACACTGGTATTTGTTAAAATACATACTTTGTGCATGAACATTGTCTTCTGAGTAATATAGCATACCCACAAAAGAAATACAATTAACTCATTCTTCCCGCCTTTTAGTTTAGAATCAAATAGACCTATAAACTTACCCTCTTACTTTCCTGAAGATTGCATCATGTCGTTCTTTTTCATTTGCGGAGTTGTTTGCTGCGGAGTTGTCATCTCGTCTAGTGCTTCGTGCAGGAATCCATTTCTGAGCGTTTTGCCCTGGGGTTTTCCCCAGGAACTCGCTAGTAAAAATTAATTAGGACCATTTAAAACATAGCATCCAGTCACACAAATCGAATGTTATACTGATCAGAAATCCTTCTAAACAAAGACATTTCACCCAACTTGCCTTACAACCAAACCACACAATCAGTGGTTTCCAAACAACAGTGTCCATCTCAATCACCTCAAGGGCTTTTGAGAGACCAGACTGCTGGGGCTATTCCCAGCTTCTGCCTCAGTGGGTCTGGAGTAGAGCCCAATAACTCACATTTCTAACACAGACTCCCAGGTGATGCTAATGCTGCCACACCTTGGGCACCAATATTTTCTAATGTCTCATGACCATGTTTGCATGATTAAGCTAAATTTAGGTTATGTGGTAGAAATGCCAGTAAGGTTAGAATTCCCGACGTCTACTGCCATAACCATATTGTTATGCATGACAAAGACAAACAAATCTGTTATTTAAAAACTCATTGTTTTGACATCTTTACAATACCTGTTGCCAGCAGTCTTGGGATAGTGCTGAGGTGCACCCCTACTTCCTCCTCCGCCCGAAGAAGCACTAATTAAAAGAAAACATTAAAAGAATCTATATCCCCAAATATGCTTCATTTGGAGGGACAAGGAATCTCATTAATTATTCTGTATTTTAGAAATTACACCACACATGAGACTGAACTTGGGCCAAATGAAAAGCCAAATAATTGACCACATTTATTTTTTATATGGCAATAAGTAGTGAAAATGAAAGGACTTCAATAAAAACAAACACGACACATTATAAAATTAAATGTACAGCACATTTATTCAGAATTATTTGGTGTGGCGATTCTTTTGATTCTGTTATTAGTCTCTAACAATTGCCCAAAATAAATCTACACATACCTGAAACGAGAAGCACCCCCTTCTGCAATCGCACTCTCCACTTTGGCGGCTTGACAATGAAGAGTCTTCAAAAGAATAATATTAATGGATGGGGTGGGGAGGGACGGGGATGGGAGAAATGAAAAACCTAGGAAAAAAAAAAAGAATACCCAAATTAGACTCCGCTAACATACAAATCTATAAACCTCCTTCAACTATAATTTATTGCAGATCATAGCACTGCAGTTGACCAAACTTTCATTGCATTGCAGACTCGTAAAACTAAAATACAGTAAACAAATGGGCAGTAAAATACTTTTTTGTCTAGCCACCTGGAAACCCCTCTGCTCAAGGATGCAAAAAGAACTTTCATGGAAATCTCAACTGCTAAGAACGAATCTTTGAAAAAGCCACATCCTACCGCCTTTAAAACTGAGTAATGAAATCAACAATATAGAAAATTTAACTATCAACACGGGGCACATTATGTGGAAAATGTCGAAAGTTTAGTGTCTCAGTGACAAGTGAAACAGACTAGATCAGAGACAACCAGACCGTCTAGCAGTTTTCTTCACTGTCCGTATTTCTGACTCCCCAGCACAGAGGGCATCAGGGGAGACAGGCGAGGGGGCAAGGGTGTACAGTAGCTGGCATTAAACAGGCGGAAGACGAGGGCCACAACATGGCAGCAGGAACCTCCGCCCCGTTTCTTCCCTTCGTGGGAACAAAAGAGCAGTGGATTCCTCCCAGTCGGGCCCGAGTTAGGGAAGTGTTTCCGACAGCCTTCCCACGGAGCCACCAGGAGCAAGCCTCGGGGAGGAGAGGTGGCCGGCCACGCCGGCCCAGCAGCGACCGTCTCTTTGTTCTCCAGAGGGGAAGGCGGCCTCCTCTCTGCCCACAGCCTCCAAAAGGGCCCCCTCCTACCCCATAAATCCCCACGGGACAGACAGTCGCCTCTCCATTCCCTTCCTAACTGACAAAAGGACACAGATCATTGTTGTCTCTCCCCTCTCCGGTCTCAGCAAGGGCCCGCTGGGGATGTCCTTCACTCCTCCCAACGACGAACGGCCCTGCCGCTCCCGACCGGCAACGGGAGTTCACACACCTCCCCTCCGGGAGGCCGGTCTCCGGGACTCCTGTGGCTCGGATGGTCCCGCGCCAACGGCCGGGCGCTCGCGCCGGCCCGCGTCCCTCCCCGCTGAGGCGCGTGCGGCCCCGGCCACGCTCTCTCCCTGTCCGAACACAACCGCGGCTTGACTGCCCGGGACCCCAACCCCGCAGCCACGAGGACGGCCGTGGTCACCAGGGTTGCTGTCTTCTACTCCGTCGGCAACAGGAAGGGAGAACAAAGGCTAAGAATTTCCAGGTGCCCGAAGCGCGGAGGAAACGCTAAAAAGGGTCGCCCCGCCCGAGTCCGCCTGCGGCCGCCATTTTGTACCACTCGAGAAGAAGTGGCCTGTGGAGGGCGGCCATTTTGAAGCGCTCTAATCGGCGGCGGCGCCAGCAGCGGCGGCAGCTCCACTCACCTTCACCGGGAACTCAGCAGCTGCCAATGCAGCTGCCTCTTCGGGATCCGGTCGTCGGGGACGGGGAAAGGAGGGGAAGGGGAACGGAAAACAAAAAAGGGGGAGGGAAGGGGGAGGAAGGAGTCGGGAACGGCTGGAAACTCTCAGCTCAGAGGAGTCGCTGCTGCAGCCACCACCCGGTACTCGCCGCCACCTCCATAGAGCTCCGACTCACTGCTGGCGCTGAGGCGTGTCTGAAGCCGAACTTATCACTCTGGGGCAGCGGAACCCACCGGTGCCGCCCCGAATGGCTCCTTCGCCATCCAATCAGCAGCCTGGCTGCTATTCGCCACCAATCCGCGCAGGATGGCGGGGAGGAACCACCGGGCCAAGCTCGGTTGCGGCGCAGCCCCGCCGCAGTGCGCAAATCAGTATTCGCGAAGGCTCTGAGGCCAAGTCAGTGGCGTAAGGGGAAGCGAGCACGGCCGAGATGCGGGCCACTTGCGTAAAGTTGTAGAGCCCTTCTGAGTCTGCGTTGGCGTGGCTGTCTTATCTTCCTCCTGTCTTTGTTCCCTGAGTCCGTACCCCGTGCAGGACTTGAAAAACCCTCTTTCCCCTCTTCCTCGTTTTCTTACCGCGCTGTGGGAAGGAAACTCGCCCTTTTCCTATCCTATCCGATTCCTATCCGTAGCCTGTCACAGCATTGATTTCTTAGCGATTCCAAGGAGCTGTGATTGCCCCTCGCAGACGGTGCTTCCCTGGGACGGGCCTATAGGATTGGGGCCTGGCGCCCCGCGGGCACAGCGCCTCGAATCACTGTTGGGCTCCGGCTGTTCGACTCCATAGGGTAGGGGAGCCGGGAGAGTAAGGTTCAGGAGACAAGACGGTGCACCCCAATACGTAAAGAAAGCTTCATTTAGCTCCCTGTATATTCCACCCCCTGCTGAGTTAAGGAGAAAGGGTTGAAAGGAGAAGTCTATTGTCTGTTTTAGTACTCCACACAAAAACATCTTTTCCCAAGTAGGTCCGGCCGGCGGTCACGGAGGAATACCCAGAATATGCCAGACCAATTTGAAAGAAGTGTTTACGGACCGCGAGCGTTGGAGGATTTTAATTGCTACTTTCTGGATTTTTTTTTTCCCCAAAATACGTTGAAGACTCTGTGTTTCTATTTTATGTAAGGTCCGACTTAGCAAATAGGATTAGGCTTTTCAAAGCCGGCAAGATGAACGATTTATTCTTTTCAGGTAGAAAAAGGGGTAGATACTGTAAAATGAAGTGTTACATGATTTTCGACATTTTAACTATCCAGAAAAGAAGTCATATTTCCATATACTAAACAACCAGTAGATATTTCCCCATCTTCATTTTGGATGTACAGCTCTTGATAATGTGTGATAAAAATCGTGTGTGTGTGAGAGAGAGAGAGAGAGAGAACGCATGACTTGAAGAAAGCATTAGATAAAGGGTGGAATTTGCAAATACCCAAACTTTTATTTGACGTGTCAAAACAGCTCTTGAGGTTGAAAACACCTACTCCTTAATACAATTTTCAAGAAAGTTGCAGGACAATTTTCAAGGAACTTGCATTTTTCCTAGGACATTTAAAGCTGATCCTAGGACTCCTAGGGCATGGTGTGACTGAAGGTTTGAAACGCAATTCCATCATCTTTAGATCTTTGCCATATATAGGCTGATTATTCCCCCTCCTTATTATGTTACCCCAGTTATTGCTATTAACTGGAAGTCAACTTCACTTGAACTTTAACTGGAAAAGATACTCACTCTTGGAGTTAGTTACACGTAATAAAATTTGGGGGAGGGAAGGTGCAAGCTGGGTTTCAAACACAAAAGTTTCCCCTTTATAACTTCAGGACCGTTCTAGCTTTCAAAATAATACCAGAATAGTATTTCTTTATACTTTCTGTAGGGCTTTATGGGTTGTGAAAATGCTTTCATATATGTGATATTTTATTTTTATATAGCTGGTTTACATTATTCATGACTAATAATACATTAATCTGAAGAAAGATAGTGTTCAAAAACACTATTCTAGTCTAGACAGAATATTTACTGAGCCCTAAAACCTGAGTGGACTTTTAATTGAGGAACTTGAAACTCGATAAGTTAAAAAATATTTAAAATAATTTTTAAAATCTTTGCTAATTGTAAATCCTTTTGATATGGGCTTTGCAGATGTGAGTGTATGTGAGAAACTGGGCTGGGAGAAAGTTACCCAAGGTAGAAAAAGTGGAAATATGGATAAAACATAATCTTTCAATTACCTATCAATTAGTGGGAGAGATAGAGGTTCACAGTTTTGATATACTTTCACCACATCATGGATGTATGAAAATTCAAGAAATTGTTTGAATTTAGCTTTCAATTTATAGAAAATTGAATTTTAAATAATACACACTTCAAACTGCTAGGTTTAAAACTTCCATTTTATGTGATTTTTCTCTAAGATTGAAAGCCTCTTAAGAGTCCTGACTGGTTAACTCATATTTTTACAGTATTTTAACTAATCATGTTAAATGCTGGTTATTATCCTAACATACATAGCTCCTGGAGCATCTGTTATCTTCTCTGCACTTAAGGATTCCCTAATCGTACATCTCCAGCTAACTAACTTCAATTTTGAGTTTCTAGTAGCCTATTATTGATCAGAGATGCAAACTTGCAGCCATAATTACTTTGGGCCACAGAGTAACTTTAAAGTAGACATTAAAATTTTAAGAAATTTTACATACAAATCCAAATTTCCATCTTTTCAGGAAAAAATCTTAAAATATGGCAATATAGGGCCTGAAATTGCAACAGATATTCAAGTGTAGCTGAGTAGCAACAGCCTCATCTAGATGTTTTCTCTTTATTTCACCATAGTTAAATCTCACTTGACTCATTTATGTTCCCGTCTAGCCTCTGTAGCCATTTTGCTTTTTTGAATTATTTGTTCAAATTCAAAAGAGTCCATATGTAAATGATTATCTTCCTATTATAATCAAAAGGAATCAAACTACTTAGTTCAAATATCTTCTCTATAACTACATAACTTTGGGCAAGTTATGTACCTGCTCTCTCTTCTTAGTTCCTAGATTTGTAAAATAGGAATAACAGTATTTATAGAATTGTTGTAAAGATTAAATAAGATAATGTATGTAAAGCACATAGCACAGTCCCTGACATAGTAATTATGTCAATTACCATATTATCAATAATATTGATTAATCAACTGTTTTACAGTTGATCCCATTATTCTTCTCTACTAAAAACTTGACTCTACATTTTCTCTTTCCTTTTCATCAAGTTTAATATTGAATCAGTTACTGAGTCCTGATGTTATTTCCCTCTAAATAATCTTCCTACAGTCATCTTTTATCCTACAATGTCATTGCATGCATGCTAATCTAGGCCTTAGTATAAAATTTCCTCCTAGGTTATTGAAAAATTCTAGTTAGTCTCCTATAGCCTTTACTCTCTATTCTGGATACTCATATCAGTCTTTTTTTAATTTTATTCATTTAATTTTATTAATATTCCCATATGCATACTCTCTTCCACCTCCACCTACCCCTGCCCACTCATATTAGTTGTTCTTCTGTGGTTCGCAGACCCGTGCTCAATCCACTGAGCTACACCAGCCAGGGTCATATTAGTTGTTCTTAAAACACTCCCCCTGCCCCAACATATCACTGCCATGTTTGAGAATCTTAGTGCTTCACTATTTTCTACATTAGTTGATCTCAATTGTGGCTACACAGCAGAATCACCTGAGACCTTTTAAAACTCTGAGTGTCCAGGCTACATCCAAGAACAGATAAATCTGAATCTCTGAGAGTGGGATCCAGGCATCAATAGCTTTTAAAGTTCTCCAAGTGATTCCAATGTGCAGTCAAGGTTTGAGAACCACAGCAGGAAGTCGGAATATTATAGAAAATGATAACATTACAGCTCCAGAGAGAGAGAGAGAGAGACCCTAGTAAAAGGATTCTAGAAAGGGACTACATTCAAATAGGGAAACAAGCATACAAACTTAAGGATCCTAGCTCATACACTTTGGCCTGGCTGTAAAGTCCTTCATATTTTGGCCCTATCCTACCTCTTCTGTTGGTCTTATTTTTCACCACTCCCAGACACCAAATCTTGTCTCATAGAGCCAGTTAGGCTGGTACTGCTGCCTCAAAGAATTCACTCCCACTAATGTGCTATTATTGCTTGCAATTTTGAAACCATCCTCATTTATCCCTTCTACATATTTATTCCTGAAGCACAGACATGAATATGTAAGTGCCCTACTCAAAAATGCCAGTAGGTCTCCCCAAACAACATCAGAACTTCTTAGTTTGGCCCTTTGCAATTTGGTTTCAGACTACTTCCCTGTTCCTAGGTACACACTGCCTCCAGTCCTACTTACCTATAATCTAGCTCTAGCTCTATGGTACTCAAAATATGCTGTCTTATAATACCAATGTTCTGTATCATATGACTAAAATTTGGTGGGTTTTTTCAGAGACTTGGCAGAAAAAAATAAAGCTGATGAATTAATATACTAATGGTTAGGTGAGGAGCTTGAGCTTAATCTCTGTTTTCAAGGAGCTCACAATCTAGACAAGATGTACACACCAATTACATAAAAAAGGCAGGAAAGGGTAGAATTAGAGCTAAACTGAACAACCAAGAAAAAAATACTATAAGGTTTCATAAAGGGAATAATAGGAGATGAGGCTTCGGTCATCCTTCCTTAAGTGCCAGAATGATGATTTGGGACTCACTATAAAGGCAGAGAAAGTTCTTGAGCTGATCAGAATTCTGACGAATTGTAGTTTAAAGCTGATAGTTTTCATTGACCAGAGTGTTGTTTTAGGGAAACTAACCTTTTGGCTTGCATAAATTGAATTGAAATAAAAATGTGGAGATAGGGAGATCAGTTAGAAAGCTATATCCTGTGTTATTTTTATCTCCCTTCCAAAATCATAAGGTCCTTGAGATTGGGAACACTTCCCTGGCATTTCTAGTAGAGTTCTTTGCACACAGCAGGAACTGAGAAAATATTTGTGTGTATTATCTTGTTGACATTTATTTATTCATTTTTCTCTTGGCTTCCATGACTTTACATGTTCAGGATCTCCTTCTACTTGATTAGATTTTTTACCAAGTCAGCTATCTTTGCTGGCTTCTTCTTCTATGCTTGACCTCTAAATATCAAAGTACCCAAGAATTTATGTGCACCTTCTTCTCTTCCCTGAATACTTTCCTCCTAGGTAACTCATTTATCCTATGACTTTAACTACAATTTATGTGATGATGATTACCAAATTCC